CCCCAAAACCCCAAAACCCCAAAACCCCAAGATATGGATACGAGATTGAATTAGATTTGATCATTTATAATTTTGAAATAAAGTTATATTTTTCAAATTATTCTTTATTCCAATTACCTTCTAAGGAAACCGAACTTTCTCAAATACGGTCATCTTTTCTTTTTCCTCTTCAAATTTCTCTTCGTTCTCTCTCCCATTACTTTTTACCATCATATTCTCAGTAGACTCATTTACTCTCTAAATCCTATTGCCTCTACAACTCTTACCATCCTTCTAAGTTTTTGCTTTTTCTGGACTCTCTTCTACTAATAACCAAAGGGCTTACTTTATTCTTGCATCGCTTGATTCATAGCTTAATGATCTTCCAGATCAGAACCAGCTATACATTAAACTTCATGCTTGCCATCTCAACCAGGGTGATCAGCCCAGTGTTGGCAACAATGACCCCTATCACTGTTATTCGCATTGACATCGAGTATTTGGGATCATCTATGGGTTAAGAGAATCCTTACTTTCGTCCCACTGGGAACGGGAGTAATAATGCCCAAGGAAAGCCACTATCATCAAGAAAAATCCTTCGTTTATGAGGTTTACAAAGGAGAAAGCTGGATTTTCAAATTTTCGGAATCTTCATGTTTGGAGGTAGTAGAGGAACTATGGGAGTTAGTGAAAAAGCCATTATATATTTTGAATTATAGAGTCTATCTAAGGGTTACAAGCAAGTCTCCCTGAGGAGGTGAATATGCACATTTCATTAATTATTAAAATGTTAATTTACCTGCAGTCCGAAGATTATTCCAAATATTACATGTGAGTTCATTTTTGGTATAAATACAATGCAAGCATACAAAAATAATCGTGACGAAGATAGCCAATTATAAATTCTGCTCCATCCTTGTTTAAAATCTGCAAAAATTCCTAAATAATGACAATACCTCTTTACCATCAAAAAATATTCCTGGTTCTGGGTCATCCTCAGATATTATGGTTCTCAGGTTGATACAGGAGTAATAAAGCAAAAAGATAAGGAATAAGATTCACCAACTCAAACTTCCTAAAGCAAATTTGAAAGAAACATCAGAGGTCTTATTTCCCAAATAATATTGCGCCAACTCATTTCATGATGTTATTGAGAGTGTAAATATTGTCTCTATGAATAATCTCATGTACATATTGAGAAAGAATCGTAATGGAAGGTATTTATGTCCCCAAAATGTTATTTTCTTGCTTATTTTTAAGAAGGCCCACTTAGCTAGCCTTTCAGGTAATCTTCAGCAGCATTTTCAGCAACAATTGTATAATGCATAAAAGGGATTGTAGTCACAATTCCCATAATTCTGAGGATCATTCCCTTCTTCAAGATCTAAAGAGTAAAACTTGTTATTTGTATCAAAATTATGAAGAACAAAGACAGAATATATTTAATAACAATGAAACTTCAAAATTTGTCAAAAATCTTTCTCTTCAAAGCCTAATGATAAAAATCAAGAAAATCAATGGTAGTCTTAAATTGAGTAAACCTCCATTCCACGAGCGTTAAACTAAACATTTGAAGGATATGAAATGAAATTATAGTTCTATTTTCAAAGATGCTTTACTTCTTATTTGTCTGTCTAGCCACTTCAACTTGCAATCAATGTATATTGACCATGATACAATTACTATTAGTTGTGTAGCAATCAGTACAGAGAGAAGAATAATTACTCCAGTGTTCATTTGGAGACAAGAGAGACTACTGTAGTCAAGTTCCTCCAATCCTTGGTTTGTCTGAGATTTCTGAAGCTTCTCAACATTATCGTCTAACCTAACATATCTCAAGATATTGCCACTCACATCCTGTAGGTTAAGTGCTAAGAAGGATTCTCCAGTAATGATTTTGCGAACATCAGGGTGAATATCAGTTTCTATCATTGTCAAGAGCATTAAAAGTTGGTATTGGTGGACGAGCATCCAGAGACCTATAAATCCAGATTTTGGAGAAAATGCTGATAGAGTTCCAACCGTAAAAGAAATTCCAAGAAAAGTCCAAATCACAATTTTCTGTTGTTCTAATGTTTGACTGAAAGGGTGGACCTATGGACATAAAGCAGATATTACTTCGTTTATTTGTATTTCAATATCAATATTTTCCTTGAGATAGATAGAACTTATCCCTGTAATGTTTTAAAATGCGAATTATAATACATAGAAATATGAAGAAAAAGGAACATAAAATTTATCTTTGTAAATTTTTCTAGAATTCAAACGATTTTCTTTTATATTCTAGCAAGAAATAAATCTTAGACTTAAGAAGGCTTTTAACAATGGATGAAACCCAAAATAATTTGATGTGTTCAAATCCTTACGATATGTTACTTCGAACGCTATAAATTAATCGTTAAACCAACTCCTATTTCTTGTTCCAAAGTCGTTAGAAATAAATTCTATCTGGCCTGAATACTCGTCAAGTTTGATCATGTTGAGTATTTCAGGATCACTAACGCTTGAAATAGCATATTTGATTCTGAATAAATCCCTAGATTCTAAAATTTTATTGTTTTTCTTACAAGTTTAGATAATCTCCTTCTCGAATCGAAGACCCTTCTTAGTGGCTGGGCGAACTAGGATTTATGTGAATAGATTGGGCTAAGAAGGAAGTTTTGCAAAAGGGGTTTGTAGGTTTGTTAGTTTAGGTGCTGAGGAAATGGAGTAGTTGTGGGAATTATGAGAGATTGAACAGAGGAAGGTAGTCAGAAATTTACTGGGGCGTTTGGGTAATTTGTGTGAGGAGTGCGGAGGTTACAATATGGGTATCTTTTGAGGTAAATGTGTATTGTGGTAATAATGGTAGGAAAAGCCTAATAGGCTATAAAATGGATAAATCAATACTTTTCTACAACCACAACATATCACAAACCATCTACTGCAAAAGACTCTCTCAACCACCTCGTCACCAAAGCTCTTTCCACCTCGCCAATCCTTCCTCCTCTCGCTATGCACTTACTGAATCTCCCTAAACCCATGAACCTATACTTCTTACTGTTCTTCACACATAAGGCTTTGCAATATAGTTGTTTCTCCTTTGCTAATAGTAATGGTCTTTGAAGGAATTATTTTGAACAACTAGGAATTAGGAGTGGCTTACGTGGGTTTCGGGGATTGTACCATTAAACACTCCAGAATCATAGGCTCCTCCATTCTCGACTACCCAAGTTTCAACAAGATTTATAGTACTTTCACTTCCGGGGTTATAGTTTATAGTTGGTGATGTGCCGAGGTTAGGGAAGTTAGAGAAGTACTATGTGTAAAGCTGATTTATTACTGTGTTGGGTGTTGCTTCATTTTCCCAATCGAGAGTGTTTGCTAAGTTTTCTAAACAATGAATTTAGTTGAGAATTCTTGCGAGCCTAATATTTAAAAAGGGGTCAGAAAAATTTGATAGAACTAAAGATCGGCATGTCGTAAACATTCATATTTTATAATACAATTTTCTTGGACTTCGAATCATAAATGAGGGCAAATGATTTGCATATTGTTAGATATTAATTTAAATTATAGATATAAATATTAAGTTCAATGATAGCAAACTTTAGTTTACTATGGTCTAGAAAAATTGTTATACTCACTTAGAGTATTGACGATGGTACATCTAAGGTGTGAAGCTGAAAATTTTTAGACTAGAGAGGAACTTATTTCTTTCAACTGCTCTTCCAGCTGTGTCGTAGACTTGTCTAAAAATATCTCCCTGGTTTTCGATTCCAGAAATTTCAGGTAAGATATTTTAGATTATTAATTGCACATAATTGGTATAATTTTTAAGCTAAAACAACAATCTAGCACCTTCCTAGTAAATTCTAAAATAACAAACAATTTTAAAATAAAACTTGATATCTTAAAATTTAATAAATAATATTTATTTATACAAAAAATCAATGAACTACATACAAAATTTTGAAATATTATCAACTTCTTCACTTTAAAAATGATACGGCAATCAAAATCTCTTCTCTCCCTCATTTTGAAACTCGAGATTAGTTAAATCCGCAATGATTCACACTTTTAAGAGCCCAATATATCTTTACGACTATAAAAATAATTTCTTGAGAAAAGACTTCTTTTTAAGAACTCAATACAAATATTTGAAGATTTGGAGATGTAAAAATTTATTCATCTAATTTAAACAATAAATTTAAATCCGTACCGGATTAATTTGAGGTGTCAAAACAATTAGATTTAGAAACCCATTTAAATTGAATCAATATTATGGAGAAGCCATCTTATATTTTATCATAGAGAAACAGTCACTAAGAATGCATGATGCTACACGTAGAATTATTGGAGAACTAATGATTAATCGTTTAATGATTTTTCATGTAATAAAGCACTAAGGAATTTGACATTTTTAACTTTATAAGTTTCAATCGAATGTGATTTATTTTGAAAGGAATTTGCTTACTCAAACTTGCCGTTATTCTAACTCATTTATTACTGCTGTGCTTTCCCATAAATATGAAATTTCTATATTTTTAGTTATGAAAAAAGAATTTCAATAAATTTTTGATGGTTATTTAAACTCATTCCCAATATTTCACATGAATTCTTATACTTGCATTAATTTAAACTTATTTAGAGAAGCCACCTCATCCTTTTCCGAAGTAATAAGAAGATAAATAAAAAATCAGGCCTCATGTTGTTAAATACTGTATTCAAGGTATTCTCTTAGATATCTTACCCAGCAGAGTTTATAACCATTTGTGCTAAATATACCTGACTGCTATCTGTAGTGAAGTACTCTCCTTGACAGACAGTCTAAAATATGTAAAACTCTTTATTTAAATAAATTCTTACCTCTACATCTTTAGATGATAAACATGTATGAAGACTTGCAAAAGGATTAGAAGATGTTGCATTATGAATAAGCAATACATTTCTGATTTGCCCTGTTGATGAGTTCCTCTTTGAGATCAGGAAATATAAGTTTCCATCATAAACTCGAAGACTGTTAACTATCTCTATAGTGTTGTTTGTTGTGATATATCTATTGGAACCTATCGTTTTGGTAGACATGTTTACTGTTACGAATATGAAATATTTTGTAGTTTGATCAGAGTATTCCATTCAAGCAAAAGCATCAGAAGCTGAATTGGAATTCACAAGAATATGAGAATTTTCAAAATTACTGCTTCATGGAGAATTTGGACATGCGTACACTTCAAGATAATCCCAGTTCCCTGACGTGGATACTGGATTAATTGATGATAAGTACAAATTGTTTCCGATTTGGTGATGCATCTATCATATAAATTACTGTTACTCAAGAAGCACAGTGATGTGTTACTTACTAGTATGCTAGTAGATGAATAATAAGCAATTTTCCCTAATGCTTTCCCCGTAGTGGCTGATTCGAAAAGAGGAGTATTGGCTGAATCAATACCTTTCTCCCAAAAATCAGCATAATTCGAATTGGATGTTAAATATAAAGGTCCATCAGTATTTGGTGCCCATGTCATTCCTAAGAAATCTACCGTTGGTAATGATTGGGTGCTATAAAGAGGAATTAAAAAGCAATTATCAATAAAATAGTAAGGAATAATGTAAAAATAAATTCATAATTGTTCTAATGCTAAAAAGTATTCTGAACTAAAATTATATTTATAGCTTTGATCCTTTATATTTGAATACACTTGTTTGAAAATAAACTAAAATATAAGCTCATTTGATTCCTAATGCTAAAACAACAAGTTATTACTCCAAGCCTTCAAAGATGCCAATTTTTTAGGTTTATTTTAGTAATTTTTATATCAGAATCTCAGCTTCAAATTCCAAGCACAAAAATTGAATAAAACATTTAAATCTACCATCTATAACACCTCTAAGCCCATCTAATCCCTTAAAAATCAACCATCCAACCCCCAATCCCCCTTTAGCCCCCAATCGCTCACTTCTCTCCAGCGCCCTTATTCCTCCCAACCAAAATTCCTTATCTCCTAAAATTTCTTCACAATTCTTCTTACAATTCTCAGTCCATTTTGCCCAGTTCAAATTCCCAAAATATGAGAGAAGTTAAACAGCGAGCACTGAGCCAGGGAAAGTGTGGGTGTAAAGGGAGTTTTGGGGAAGATTTTAGATTTTAGGGGAGGAAAAGGGGTTAAGAACTGAGAGGAGAAGTTTTGAGGGGAGAAAGGGAGTTTGGGGAGTAAGAGGGGAGGAAATGAGGGATTAAGTGGAATTTTGGTAATAGTTTAAGGAAGAAGAATTGGTAGGAGGTTGGTCAGTGTGAAGAAATAAGGATTTGTTAATGGTGAGAGCATCTAATGACTATTCTCCAGAATATTTCAAATTTTGGCACTAACTAGCCAGAATGTGAGTTAAACTGTTATACAACTAATAACTATTAGTTCCTAGATACACAGAAACTTTCTCTCTAACTACTCAAAACATGAGACAAACATAAAATGACTTACTATGTATATCTCCTAATGGAAGTTCCGTCAGTAGCATTGATCTCTCTCAGATCTAAAATATGTCAGTTCTCATTGTTTGGATAAGAAGTTTATTCAGATTCAGCAACCAATAAACTTCCAAAGAGTTAAAAGGAAAATGATAAAGGGATGTTTCGAAATTCAATAGGAAAGTTGTTAGGGGGGATTGATAGTAAGAGGCTTGATGATTGGGAAAATTAGGAGATGGGGGAGTAAGAGGATCATGTTTGAAGAGCCAAGTTTTGAGTGATTTAAGTATTTTTCGAAGCTTATGACCAAATCTCTAATATTTACTTTTTACTAATTATGTGAAGAAATTTTCATAAACAAACAATAAAATTTGAACCTCTTACTACTTTTATCTAAAATCTCTCCATCCAAACATTCCTTCACCATCAGTAACCCCCTAATCTCCTCTTCCCCTCCCTAAACTCCCTTCCACTCTCCCAAATCTCCCATCCTCCTCCACTATAAAACCCCTCTATTCCCTCTTTCCCGTCTTCTTTTCAAAATTCTTACCAATAGTCGTTTCTAGCTGGTAAACTGAATAAAGTGCTCGCTCGAGCGGGTCAACTGTGGTGTACCATTTATGGACTCCATTCGTTCTTTGCCATTTTGGGACCAAGGGGTTTACTCCTGAGGAAGGGTCGAGTCTGAGGATGAACGAGTTTGAACTAGCAGAGCCCAAACCACTGATGTAAATATCTCCGCTTACTCCCAAATGAATATCGAGGATGTTGCAGTCTGAATATTCTTGAACTTGAAATAGTTTTCTCTCAAAATCATCAAGTTCCATTTCAATCTCTGTAGCATTCTCGCAAGTCTGCTGCATATTTCTAAAAAACCTTTTTAAAATTGCCATCCTAGCCATAATCACTTACCTTTTATTTTCACTCTCTCGATCAAATCCAACCCATTCTCAGAATATCACTCGAACCCACATTACTCCTAAAACCAATATAACATATTTGCGTATCTTCATTTTTATTATTATTTATACATATTTTATTTCATTCAAATAAATAATTTCAAACAGGGGTTTTGGGGTTTTGGGGTTTTGGGGTTTTGGGG